CTGGAGATCTGCCACAAAGATGCAGCTTTTTAATCTCCTGCTTTCAGCATTTTTCTGCACTTTGCTGGGAATCACACACAGCCTGTGCTGTCCCAGGGCACAGTCCACAGAAGCCACACAAACCAGGCACAAATCTGGCTGATCACGGTCACTACTGCAAGTAAGATACAAGACGTTTAAAAGGAAACTGTTAGTACCAACCAAATTAATTTGTGCTATGTATTTGTTTGTGCTTAAAGGTAAGAAATGGGTGTGCAGGACCGGGATGGAGGCAGAGCTGGGGAGAGAGTCCAGATCTGCACATTCCCATCGAGCCTGGCACGTTATCCACTGTTGGGAGTGCTGGAGGAAACACTCCTTTCCCCGAGAACAGCCTGCCCTTGTCTACCTTGACAACCGCTACAAAGCTTTGTAAAAACCCGTAAACACGCGAGGCAGCCGTGGACAAACGCTGCCGTCAGCCAAGGCCTCTCCTTGAATAGTGGGCTACCCAGCTCCACCCTCCCCAGTTTCCTTTCTGCCTCTTGGATCTTGCTTTCCTAGGGCAGGCTGAGAAACAGCTTTTTGTTCCAGCTTTTCACATAGCAAAGGCAGAGGCTGATGGTGTCTCCGGAGGGAGCCATGGGGCAGGATGTGCACTGGGCCAGCACACGGTGACAGCACACCTGCCTTTACGAGGCCGTGGCCTTGCTGTGTGCTCAGGGCTTCCCAGACACGGCCCTGGAAATGGCAGCGGGATTTGTGCCAGCCGGGCTGACCATAAATAAAGGGGGGAAAAAAAAGACAAAATTCCAAGATATGTTATTTTGTACCATTCTTTGAGTAGAATCAGAGATATTTTTTTCTAATGCTGAGTGTTTTTTATTGGCTAGAACTGTTTATTTTTAGGAATAGGAACTAACTCAAGTTGACAGGGAGCTCTCCTATTCATCTCGCAGTTGTTTGGGATACGCCGTGTCCTAAAGTATTGAGGCGTTGCAGACGGGCTGGCCTCCTTTCCAGCCTCTGCTACCATCAGGTACCCCCTTCCCCTTGAATGCCTGTCAGGTCTGCTTGGCCTGGAGGGCTCTTCAGCCTGCAGGGCCCTTCAGCAGCCCGAGGCACCTCAGGCCGCTTCATTTACCCCTCAGTAGTTTGCAGAGAGGCCGTGTGTTTTCCCTCCCCMGCTCCACGTGTTGCCTCCTGCCTCAGGGGGCCACCTAGGCCTGGCACTGGGTTTAGCAAGTTGCTTCTCAGCTCTCATGCCTGTCCATGTCACTACAGCTGGGACCAACGCAGATTTGGCACTTTTTGATCTGTGTGCCTTTCCAGCCTTTCTGGGTGCTGCTGTGTTGGCAACACTAGCTCAGGGTTCATTTTGCTCCTTTGYAGCTCATCCCGCTGGGACACAGCACTTTGGACAGTGGTGATGTGTGCCCAGGCACGCAGGGTACTGCGCCCCGAACGCAAAACACCGCCTGCAAACCCACTGCCCAAACACCAGCGCATCTGCCACTGCCCAGAGCAGGGGCCGTGCTCTTAGAGAAGGCTCCAGGCTTGGCCTCTGCTGATCAAGGCCATCCTTGTCCGGCAGCTGCTGGGATGGGATGGGCTTTGGCTGGTGCCAGCGGGATGAGCAATGCRGATCCGCAAGGGTGGAGTGAAGGATACGGAGCCCCGGCGATGCTGAGTGCTGCTTCCCTTTGGCGCAGTGGTTTCTCAGGAATGCTTTCCTGTTTTTCATTAGGCGGCTGCATGACAGTCTCTGGGCAGGGAGCCCCAAGCCCTTACATGGCCAAGAAAAATACTGCAAGTTCTTGGCCTCTGATGCCCATGCTGTGAGTAAGCTCACGGGGATTAAATGTCCAGCCCTGTGAGTGTGTGTGCATGTATGGGAAAAGCCTAGGAGGCACAGAGGCCAACCTAGTAAATGATTCAAGGGAAAGAATAAACGCAAGTGAAATGTTAGCGAGCGGGAGGTCATCTTGGGTGCAGCTGCTTCCCAGCCAGCCCCAGCACAGACCAAAGAGTGGGGAAAAACAGGGAAATTTGCAGGGACTTGATGTTCAGAGCCTTCACTTCTTCACACTTTGCTCCCTGCTTTTCCTAACTTCTTCTCCTGGACATGAGCCCTTCTCCTCCTTAAATAAAATCCAAGCCCCGAGCTATTTCTAGCATCTTTATGCCAACACAGATTTCCCATGCAGAGAAGGGATAATTTAGCAGTAATTCTCCCACTGCTTTAAATTCAGTTTGCACTCTAAGTGGTAGAAAGTGAGTTTGGCAGAACTGAGATCTGGCAGCATCTTTATTTAATCATTTTATTATAGGCCTGGAGAAATAAAGAGAGCTCAAAAGTGTCTGACCATTGCAGGATATATACAAATAATAAATCTCTAATTTATCAMCAAATCCCATATATTAACTTTCCTTTCTGTTCAGGAGAGAAGGAAAAGTAAATTTCCATCATCCAGAAGCGAGAGCAACAGACCCTGAACAGTCCCTTACCGTGCACCAGGACGCTGTTGGTCAGATGGCAGGATGTTATTTGCCCTCATCAAAACCTATACTGTCATCCCCATAAGAAGCTGCTTTCCTGGGATCTAATTGCATTAATAGGAGACATGAATACCTCCAGAGTAAGAACAGTTGTTGTTTTAGTATTTTATAAACTAGCATTTTTTCAACCAGAACACAAACTCTTAGAAGTTATTGACAAGGAGCCAGCACACACCAGCCAACGCTTTCCTTTGTAATTCTGAGCATTTTGTTAATAACTTTTTTTTTCTCTGTTCTACCCTTGTTTTGCTGTACTGCGGCCACTTTTACCTTCTCAGTGTCAGACAACACATCCTTCTTTACGTCAGCATAGCATGAAGAGCTTTCAGAGTAGCTATAGGATATTCTGAATGAAGCCCATCTTCTGAAAACACGTAGAGGCCTGCAGGTTCCTTCCTTAATTCGCTTTCCCAGGAGAATTAAAAAGATCCAACGGTTGTTTTATGTATGTATTASATGGCCTAAGCACTTTAGATCTGAGCTTCAGTTGCTCAGGTGTGTTCTCAGAAGATGGGCTGCACTTCCACAAAATGCCAGTGACACCTGCACAAGGCAGCGTGCTTCTGAAGCCACATCTTTGGTGGCAATGGCAGCATCAAACATATCAAACATTTTATTAATCTCTTTGCTTTTTTTTTTTTTTTTTTTTTTTTTGCAAGCACTTTAAGTGGGCCCCTTAAATCCTTTCAGCCTCAATACTTCAGTTATAATTAGGAGAGATTGTGGCTCAGCCCTTGCTACACTTCAGCTCAGTCTCATTCCTATAAAACACCCTGTGTAGCAAGCACTTTGGTGGCTTCTGATTCAACATTGCAGCAAAATTGGCAATGCTGTGGAGATGCTTTTGGTTTAGTCCTCACGATGAGTGCCATGAAGCTGTCCCTGTTTCTGCCACATGGCAGCAACTGCGCTACTCCCACCCTCCTTCAGTGGGGACAAATAAGCTCATTGCAACGTTTACCACTTACAAATGTAAGTTTTTYTTACATCCTTTCATGGATCTTTCTGCTACAAGAAAATTGCAGGAAATGATCAGRTCTTTTGAAGTGGAGATCTCTGATTTCTGCTGTTAACACTTCAAATCAGCATTTTTCCTTCTGTTCTCTTGTATGCAACAGTACTGCTCCTCATTGCAGTCACTAGCAATCCTCCAGCACACCTTAAAGCAAGGGCAACTATCACGTGCAGGAGCAGGGTGCATTACAAGAGGCACCGCWCCTGCAACAACAAAGTGCTGGCAGAACTGCATGCACATATAAAAGGAACCACATTTTAAAGGCTTAATACACAATAAAAACATAGCTAAAACAACTTARAAGAAAAAAAAAAAGCACTTACATTGAGGTATTCTGCCTATTAAGAAAAAACGGGAGGAATGTTACTGTCCAGAGTGTTGAGGGCTCAGGAGACAAGAACTATAGGTTCTCTTGACTTGACAATAGAGTGAAAGGGGATGATTCAACCACTGCAATTGAGTTAGGGCAACTGCATAGTTGAGAGGACATGAAGATGGTTGTGGSAAGTGCCGTGATTAATGTATTAGAGTGCTCTGGGCAGGGAATCAAGCACTTCTGACCTCAGGTGCTTGGTGGTTCTTTCCTTCTTTGCTCAGCGGCTTTTGGAAAGGCCATTATTTCCCTGAAAGCACCTGATGACTGCAAGCACAGGAATCCGCCAGTCCTGGCCCCAGGGGGTTTCTCATGCTTTCTGCTAAGGCTCCCTGCCTGGGCAGCACTTCTCCACCTCTCAGGGTGCACAATTGCCCTGCTTAGTCACCTCCAAGGCAGTAACCACTCCACTGAGATGGCAACAACTTGCCCTTTGTGCCCATGTGATTTTACCACACTGCCTAGACCAGGCTGGGGCACATACTTCAACTTTACACAGCAATGGACACCTTAATTAGACATCAAGGAGCTGGTTTGCASTTGATCCTTCCCACCCTTCCTTGAAATGTCTATGCAAGAACGCATAAAGGAAACTTCAAACCACATTTTAAGCATTAAAACAAAAATGTCTTTCTCCCTCAGGATATGACAGTGGCCACCTACCAGCCTAGAACTGTGATTGAGTATCGGTTTGAGGAAGAAAAAAGAAAAAAAAAGAATAAGGAGATTCAGTCCCAGCAGATGTCTGGTCCTTAAGGCATCTTCTAACCCTTACCTGGTGGCAGGAGCTGCTCCCACTACAGCAACGAGGACTGCTCRGCTGCAGGCCTGGGAGAGCATTTGCCATTAGTCCTTCCCGGGAGCTTTGCCAAGTAAAAATACGTGTGTGTGGGTAGTGYGAGCTGGACGGGCCAGGTAGGCAACGCTCCTCGCTGACTGCTGGAGACGGGCACTGGACTCACGCAAGTGACAACCACACACTGTGATTTTTATTTTTAATTTCCTTATGCCAGGAACTAAATCAGCATATGAGTGCCATTTACACCTTGATTAAAACAAATCCAGCACAGCAGAAAAAAGCATTCTTTTATTCTCTAACGCACACCTGGGGACACAGCACAAAGCCTAATGTCAGTACAGAAAAGCTTCCTCTTAACGCACCTGCGCTGCAGTTTTCTCCATTAGTTCTTTTAAAAAATTATTACATCTTAAGATACTTATGAGTATGATACTTGTCTTGCAGGAAGCTTTGCATAATCTACCCATAACACAATTCATTTCTGAAGCCAGTTAAGAAGCTAAATTAAAAAGGCCCCATAAATTTGCTTTATTTACAGCTGCAATGGCTACTTTTAAAATACTTCACAATCACTCCCAGCACTGACTCTAAAGGATCAGTGCACTCCATGATCAGTTTTCCAAAGGGGATTAGGTTGCCCCTACCTGCAGCTCTGAAGGTACCTCAGCTCTCTACATCGAGTACCTTAGAGGAAACAAACATGCTGACAAAGATACTTAAAATAAYAAGAGCAAAGGAGAAACTCAACCTTCAGAAAGCATCTGCAGGTCCTTGCTTTTGTGCTGCACTCATTTTTGACTCACCAGCAGAAAGGGGGGCAAAAGAGCAGTTACGGAGCACCACAGAGCAGGGCAGGTCTCTCCCAGTCCTTTGGAAAGAGATCCGTCTCACAGCTCTGATTCCCTCCTCTTTCCTCCTTCGCCCCTTGCAGCTTTTTAAAAATCACATATTACTTGGGCAATTTTTCAAACTATGACAGCGTTTTGACTTGAGAGGGGGAAAAGGGCAACCATGCATCRGGGAGACCATACTTTTATGTTGTGACTTCTTATTTTATATGCAGGAACTGCAGGTTACATAAAGAATAGGGCAACTCTTTCCTAAGACTAAATTTATCAGGAGACAGATGCACTTGCGTTATCTGAATGCAGAGACCAGTTCCTCCCAGCTGGGCAGCTGGCGAAGGGATGCAGGTCCTGTGGCAGCTGGAAACTGCTGGAAAGATTAACAAACAGACTGCACATGCATTCACATAGTCTTATATACTTTCAAAATCAGAATGAGAGGCAGAAGCCTCCAGCCTCCATGAACTGGGTAGATCCAGAAGGCTTTTTTTTTTTTTTTAAATACACAATAAGGAAGATTACTTAGCACATTCCAGGTTAGAAAAATTACAGTAAACATTCGGTAACTGGAATGCATATAATATACAAGTACCATTACATTTACAAAGCTGTTCAGGACAATTTTTTTCTTTCTAGAATAAGYATATAAAAGTTACAAGCTAATTCACAATAACTTTAGATACAATGTTATTAAAATACATTGATGTTAATCATAAAAATATTTTACTATTTACATGTACATTGTATAAACCTTAACAATAAAGAATATGCCCACCCTAGGACGCCTTAAATGAATATTCAGGCAGATTGGCCCATTTTATAGTGCAGTATCACCTGTTTTGGTCTTCACACCATGAAGCTGTGCCAGATTCACAGTACCCTTGCTAGTGCTTTGCTAAAACGCTTACAACTTCCTCCTGTGTAAGACACATTCATTACGAAGAGCCAGTCTTGCTTCCACTTGGCTTCTTGTTAAATCCCACTCCCAGGAGCTCCGGACATTCGGCCTGGCCTTGTGCAATCTGGTTGCATTTCCAGATAAGGCTGTAATTCATCTCATCAGTTATCACGCTGTCTTGCTTGTAGTCTGGATGCTGCGCGATGAATTCCCTCATCCATCGGGCCACCGTCATCAACTCTCCTGTGGGCAATGGCAGGGCAGATTTCAGACACATTGTACACCTAATGCACAACACAACATTCTGCATATTGTGTACACATTTAATAAATAACTGTTCGTTTTCATGAGATAGATGCATTTTTTTTTAAACGATGGTCAACCTTGAAGTATAATTTAACACATAAGACATTTAACATAATTTAACAGACATAGACATTTAACAGACACAACAGACAGCAACAATTGCTAGGAAGAGGTGCTACACACACATTATAGCACGAGGTCTCGAGCATTTAACAGAGATGCTGTGTGGGGCAAACCAAGCCGTGCTCAGGACGTCTCAGTAATGACACACATCTTTAATGAGTTTGTGGCTCATCCACACAACTCAGCTCCTGGTTCTGTCTGCCTTGGATTTCCTGCTACTTCCCTCTGCTGGCAGCTTCCCTGCAGAAGGCAGGCAGGTTCCTCACGATGCTCCCTCCTTGCAGGCGCTGGGCACCTACTCACCCAGGCAGGATTTAGTCTGACCTACAGGAGTCATTGAGACTTCTGCAGGGGCCAGCAAGGGACACACACAACGTGCATCCTTGTGAAGCAGCAACCGGAGACCAGCTGGACACCAGTGTTTAAGGTTATTGAACCTTTTTCCTACATGTTGCATAGGTAAACAAGCCTCCACTGGTATGAACTATACTAACTTTAATAAGTTATAATTAGTTGTAATAAGGCATCTATACTATAATGACTATAATAACTTATACATATAACTTATATATATTATCTTATACATCATATATATAATTATATATTATATATATAATATAATATATAATATATATTATATATTACATATATTATATATAATCTATACATTATATATATTATATATATAATATAATATATAATATTTATATATAACTTATATTTTATATATTATAATATATATTTTTATATATTTTTATATATAATATATATTATATATTTTATATATATATATATAACTATAATAAGTTATAGTAAGTTGTAATAAGGCATCAGCACAGACCACCAGGATGCCCAAAGAGCCCAGCAGAAAGGGAAGTYGGTTCTTTAGAGTTTTCATTGCGGGTTGAATCTCAGCATATTTTCATATATATCGTCTACAAGTATACACACACACATTATTTGTGTATATCTTTATATTACACATTATATGCAGTATATTCTATTACATATATACACATTATTGTGTATCTGTGTATATATTACACATATATTTGTGGTATATACCYGTATGCATGTGTACCTGAACCTGTATCTCTCCCTCAGACAAAAATGACTCAAGAAGTTCCCGTGGAAGGCTTTACAAACACGAGTCCCTTAATCCAGCCAGGCGCCGGGAGGCGCAGGARCGCCGGAGCGGAGCAACACGGGAGCGAGCGTGGCGGCGCGGGGCCGCGGGCGGCCGCCAGCCCGCGCCGACACGGACMCCTAGCGGCCGCCGGCCCGGCGCCCCGCGACGGAGGTGACAAGGGCACCTGCCGTAAGGGCTGCGATGGGGGGTCTGSAGCACGGCATGCAGCTCTCCCAGGGAAATCTGCAGACGCTGTACGCTGGTAATAGGTATTAGGGAACTCTACTCCCCAACCTCCCTGGGCAGCCTGTTCCAGGGCTCTGTCACCCTGACAGGAAAGAAATTTTTCCTCAAGTTCCTGTGGAACTTTTGGTGCTTCAGTTTGTGGCCGTTTCCTCTAGCTCTATCAGTGGCCACCACTGCAAAGAGGCCGCCCCCCTCCTCCTCACTGCCTCCCTTGAGGTATTTATASACACTGATCAGGTCCCCCCTCAGCCTCCTCTTCTCCAGGCTGAACAGRCCCAGCTCTCTCAGCCTTTCTTCACAAGAGAGATGTTCCATGTCAGCTCCGAGGCATATCATTAAATGAATGTTTAAGCATGCAAAAAAACACGTTTTCTTCCCCAGAGCACATTAATAAAATCATGGCCCTTTTGAGGATGACTTCCAGAAGGATTAGACACACAGCGTGGAAACCACGAGCTGCTTCCAGGCGCCGCGAGGCCTGGGCCGCCCTTGGCGGAGAGCGCGGCTGCAGGAGCGGGGATGGCGTCCCCTGCCCGCCCAGCCAGCAGGGGCATCTCCACAAACACCCTCCTTGCAGGG